ATTACTTGGATTAAAGATGCAACACGAGAATTAAAATGTGTACTTTTTACAAAATGAATGCCGTTATAGGAAGTAAGCTTGTGTTAATAGTCTGGAAACAGCAAGCAGCAGGCATGAGACCCAAGTTCTAATTCTTGAAAATGCCAGTTAAAAGCACTCCACAGCCAGGGCTGGCAAAGGATTCTGAGGTATGGACTGAAGTCAGATTAATCACGCTGTTTGAGAGGAATCATTTGTCTGATTTGGTTTTACAGAGCTCTGCAGTTACTCTCTGCTGAACTAAAATGAAATCAGGCTTTAGTTTACAAAGGAAGAAAAATACTTTCATACTTACGGTTGTGGGGCTGGGGTGGGTGGGTGGGGCAGGGATGGCCTTTCTGTTTTAAAAAAGAAGGGGGGGGAGAATGACTATGTAGACAAGCTGGAACCTAGAGACTGCCAGAAAAAAATTCAAGTATCAATCAAAAGGTGAATAGATGAGGGGAGAAAGTCTGTCATTTAAGAAAATACTATCATATAGGAGCATCCAAGCTGTGGTTGTAATCTTGTGTTCAGTTCCCCAAAGAACTCAAAGAAGTCGAGGTATGAAAGAACAAGCCCAAGTAAATTAAAAGTACAACAAAATTTCTCTGTATTCTTCCCTTCTCCTATTCTAACTGAACAACAAAAGGGTGGCTGATTGAGTTGCTGAAGCAGTAACAGACTTGTCATGTGACTGCACATCCAGACCGTCACGATTTTCAGGATTTTGGAAATTCAGGGTGCACATTATAGTTGATTTGGAGCTCTTGTGCAAATGAACTTTTTGCCATAAGGGACAGTGACAGTAACACACTAAGTACGTAGTTCAAAATTGGGAAGGTTTAGAGCAGACTTTCTCAACTTTGGATCCCCAGCGTCCCCACATGTCTGGGGACCCAAGGCTGGAAAGGCTGGTTTAGCAGAGTGCAGATATCATTATCAATGATCCGTGGATGAATATTGGTGCTATTCTATATGTGGATATGAATTAAATAAGAAAAAAACACACATACACACAGACTGCTGCTGAACTTACTTGACATTTTGGTAAGAAAAGTGTTCAACCAGCTGACATTAGATCTGAAAAAGAAAAGCAGAACATCACTATAAATCATGTTCTCTCTTGACACATCCCATATAAACAGTTGGACCAACGTAGTCCTCCAACATCTACAACTAAAGAACATAATTGATATACAGTACTGAACAACAATCATCTATAAACTTCATTGTTTGCAGTACTGAGCTACCTTCTTAAACACAGATAATCCCCTTGTTGTTTCAGAGCAAAGATATGAACCAGTACAGGAAAAGTTTATTTCCCTCCCCCTTTAAACACTACCCACTTGTAGCAACTTCTTTCATGCGGTACCAAAAGAAAAAGTTGAAACCAAATATCGCAAATGGTTTTCCTCTCTAGAGAAGAAAAAACTCTGAATCAAAATGTGCTTGTTTTGTGTAGCAAGATCAAAAATCTCAGAGTCATTAATGATAACAGATTAATTTAGGAGGATCAGTGTTTATATGTGTGTGTGTACACACATATGTACACTCAATGAGGCCAAAATTAGACTCACAAAATGTTTAGAGATATGAGTACCCCTGAGTCCCCCCCCCCAAAACCCTGATCCTCCTAAATTAATCTGTTATCAATAACGACCCTGGGAGTTTGAGATTTATATTGTATTATATATATAGCTTTCATATATAATAGAAAACTTTCTTTTTAAAAATCACGTTATGCCTTTTGTGTTATTATGCTGTGAACCGCCCTGTGATCTTCGGACGAAGGGCGTTCTATAAAACGCAATAAAATAAATGAATGAACTGAAGTACTGCCAGCTCTGCCTGTCCATCCCCTCCGCAAGAAGAAGACGACGACCCGCTGGACTCAGCAGGACCTACTTCCGAGTAGACCTAGTGAGGACTGCGGAGAGGGGGCGCCACCCTCACAGCGGGTGCGGGAGGAGGACAGCTAACGGGGCGCGCAGGCTCTCTCTCACCCAGGCTGGGCCCCGCAAACTCACCGGCTCCAACACGGGCCTCGGGCCTCGCTCCTTTGTCTCCAACGAGAGGGAAGCGGCGGAAGCAGGGATGGAGAGAGAGGGAGGAGGGGGAAGGCAGCAACTTCCGTTTCCTCTTCAGCACTTTCCACAACAAACCTTTCCCCTCGCCCTGGCTCTCTCACCCGCTCACCCCATTGCCCACTTTCCAATTGAAAACAAAAACCTCCCAATTTGGGAAGACATTTGCACCCAGTCATCTCCCTCTTAACTTAAAAGGACGCTGCCAGCGGATTGTTGCGAAACTGCGAATGCAATGTAGAAATTACATTTCCCGAAGCTGCCAGCTTCAAGCGGTTGGTAGGCAAGGAGTCGCGCGCCGGGTCACGTGAGGGCTAACGCGACGACGTGACGCAAAGGGAGTGAGCGTAGAGTTTAAGCAGGTCGGTGCGCAGGGCTCGTCCTCCGGTTCTTTTATGCGGGGAAGGTGGGAGAGTGTCGGTAGAAGTCGAAGCAGAAATGTCAGGATTTCTGCAGCCAGAAACAAACGGGAGTAGAGCAGCGAGGGCTTTCTCCTCTTTCTATTTTGCTGCTATCCCCAACCACCCTCAGAGC